ACGATTATTCGAGCTTTGCGGCTGGTTTTTATAATTGTTGACAATGAGTAACTGTAAAAACGAGTCGCAAAGCTCAAATAATTGTACCTCCTCTTCCCTAATTGTCCATTTTTGTATACAATCTGAGCGTCAATTAGAGAGAGAATTTACTGTACTTTTATTTCAATAAAACGTATATGTATTAAAATATCAAATTTTACTTAAATGTTAACGATATGTAAAGTTTCTTGACTTTTGTTGGCACGTATATACGAGACCTTTCGGGAGGGTAAATTTTATACATTGAAGTGATAAAAGAAGCTTTTTGCGTGTGTATACATGGCTGATGAAGCTTAATTTTTTAACCGCAATCTGTTCTCGTGCCGTAGTAACGAATACCAGAAACGCCCTTACGAGAACAACAACCTAACAACAGGCTTGGCCTACTACCCTGCAGTGACCTACTGCCCCACTACAATTTTGTCACACACATCATACCCGCCGTTGACAGACAAAGAATGATTCGAAACACTTACCTTCTTCGCTGAGCTATTTTTAATTGTGCTACTTGCACGACCTTGCAATTTCTACGAACAAATCGTGAAAAATATTTCAATGTATTGAATCTAACGTTATAAGTGAAACGTTAAGATTAAACGTTATAATTAAACGTTTGGAATTAAACTTTCAGCTGATTCGTGATTGAAGTAAAAGTCTACGGTATATATATATATTTTAGGAACTTACTTTACATAAAGATCTTCTTGTAATTTTTCATGTGGCAATACGGCAAAGTAGGATGTTGCTCTGCTATAGACGTTTCTATGAATAACATGTTCTTCGTCGTACAAAAATGGCCTAAAACTTGAACCTTGTCGCGTTAAATGTTTTGTAATCATTTTTGTATACCTTTGTAGAAAAATGTTAAAAATAATTAAAATGCTAAACTGTTAAACGTTGGTTAAATGTTAAACATATGCCTCAATAATTAATACAGAAAAATTGTATAATTGATCTATAAATTATGTAAGCAATCTTCAAGTAATCATTTAAATTAATGGCAATATTAAAACATAAAAGCGATATAACCTAAATAACACAATCAAATATATTGGTATATTTTAAAAATTCCTTTGACGTTTATATATAATGTTTATACAAATGTCGAATATTGTACTCGACTTATATCCAACAGGTTACATATTTATTACTTTTTTTAAAACGGAATTGTATGGACGTTTCAAAAATTTCGCGTATTGCAAATTAGCGAAGAATTTCAGAATTTGTGGAGTCCTTCTTTAATTGTATCCACAACCATCGAGGTGTCGTTTTATATAGCATACTAGAAAGAAATATTATCTCTGTAAGGCCTTGTAGGCACTTGAGAATGAACTCTTGACAGTTATTCTCTCGAGGGTGGCTGCATGGAGTATTGGAAAGTAAGGTATCGAAGAGTGGCTTTCATTGTTAGTTAGGTCTCAATCTTAACTAGAGTTGCTTTCAACGGTAGAACTCTCAGGGCAGCGTATATACAAATATTGACGACATTGGCGCTATCTAAATTTTAATTAATTCCACGATAATGACTAGACTGCAGATTTTATGCATCTGTGAGAAATGCTTTCTAATAGAAAACTGAAGAAACGCTAGAAGAATTTAAGGGCATCGTTACGTTGTTAGTAACTGATTATAATTATTAAAAGAGAAAAGACATTTTTATCTAATTTATTGGTTTTGTACTTAATTTTTCTTTTCGCATGAAGATCCGCAGTCTAATAATGACTCTGCATTGCTGACACATCTATCAGTTTTTTTTAAAATCATTTTATCAAATAGGAAACTGAAGAAACACTAATTTAATATAATTATTAAAAGAGTAAAGACATTTTTACCTAATTTATTGGTTTCTGAATTAATTTTTTCTTTTTGCATGTCTAATAATGACTGTTTTTCTAAAAATCATTTTATCAAATATATTTTATCATACGTACATGGTATACTTCCATTTCCATTCTACCTTTTACTCCTTTCAGAGGAAACCTTTCCACAATGACATTATATCTATTGTTACTACAGTGGCACGTTTTTCCCCTTTTCAAAAATTGATCACAGTACTTCACGTTCGTGTTGAAAACTTCTACGTGAAGCTTCATTGTTAGACTTCAACGTTATTTATTCAAGTACGAGCTATGTGTTAAGCTTCATGTGTTCCTAAGATAAAACATCACCTATTTTCTATTTTAAATACGGTAAAACTTCTATATTTCACTGAAATTGTGATACAAATTGATATATTTGTTTAGAGTATCAGATTGTGAAAAAAACACAAATGGTAAAATGTAAATGTGATAGAAACATGAATTAAAATATAATATTCAATAATGTGGGATACAAAATAAAATATAACAAATTATAAAATAAATAATGATAATTATAAAATAAAATATGATAAAAGAATAGAATAAAATACAATATTATAAAATATAATAAAATGAAATATTCTCAGTTTGCAACTTAGATATTTAATTTCTATGTTCAGGAAATCAAATTGAAATGAAGGGTTGCTAGGGTTTGCCACATTTCATGGCACTAATTTAGGGTTAAAGGTTAAATTTCCATGATATGAAATATTATATTCTGTATACCATATGTATACCTAGAACAGTTTAGGAGGAGGTGGAGGATTTTATGACGAAGCCACGTTCGTAGATTCCGAGGTGTTGCGATCAGGTTAGGCAATATGTCCAGCCGTATATGCCTGATCCAGCACATATTAATTTACTCTAGGGCATTGAACATTGGTCACACAGCTATAGAGGTACCTGACCTAAATCTATTTGACTCAAGTGCAAGCAGGAAACGTAAATGACTTCGCAACAATAGCAAACCGTAACTCTTGGCAGTTCTCTTAAGAGGATGTCAAGAGAGTTGGTATATTGGTTTTACCGAGAATAATTATTTCTACTGGAAATCTTAAGAAACTGTCTAATTACTACGACAGGAGATCTGATAATATATATCTGAGACCTATACAAGAGTATACACAAAATAATGAAAAGCTGAGCCAGAGTTATAAATGTGCAAAATTTCGACCCATAGTTATAAAAGTTCTATTTAAATGTTACATACTTACATTATGTCCAAGAAAAGTATTATCGTTGACTTCAAAGAAGTGAATTCAGAAATATGTAAAAATTTGAAGACCTATAAAAATGATTGTTCTATCAATCATTTAAATTATATGTAGTGTTTTAAAGGAGTTTTTTCAATTTATTTTGACCCTTCAGATGCTATTGATACATGTATAACCAGTCTCTGTTATACCAAATTTAATACAAAATTAAACTAAATTTTACTATAAAATTTACTAAAAACTATAACTAAACTTTAACTAAAGTGAAATTTGCTATATAAATTTTACTTTATAATTGAAAGTAATACATTTTATACGCAGTTTTACCATATAGGAAACAATATTAGGATTCAAACATTTATTCCATGAACGTATATTAATCGATTATCAAGTTTACGAGACGTCATAACGGTTTAACATGTGCGGCAAACACGATATTTGGAAACTCATGGGCGCAACTATAATGAAATTTCCTAATTAAATTTTCGAATTAAATTATTTTAATTAAATTCTCTAAAACTGTACATCCTGTTTAAGCATAAAACAAATATGACTAACCTGGAGAGCGGATCATGTCTTTAAATTAGGTTACAGCACAAGAAAACGATAAATGTTAATGCGTCAGTGTGAATTTAATCGGGGAAATTATAAATAATTAATTTGTATGGTGTACATTAAAAATGCAAATAAAATACAACCATATTGTGGTGTTTATTAGTAGTACTGTTTGGTTGGTAATCGAGGGGAGGAAAAATGGTATTAGTTTCCTAGGCCAGTAGAGATGTGTGTATAATTACTCCATGTATTCCCACGTGCGCACTAAATTTAGTTCCTGGTTACTATGGTGGAGTAGAATGTTATCTACCGATGAGAATCATGAGTTTCTTAAATATGTGGTTTCTATTAACCCTGTTAATCCTTCGAGACAAAATCTTTTTCATTGCATATAAATAATAAATTCCAGACATTTTTTAAAATCTGTTCTTTGATTCAAAATGCATTACGTTGTTTATTATAATTTCTGTGGACAGAAATTTTCCAAATATTTAATTTCTCGTGACAGAAATTTTCCAAATATTTAATTTCTCGTAACAGAAATTTTCCAAATACTCAATTTCTCGTGACAGAAATTTTCCAAATATTTAATTTCTCGTAACAGAAATTTTCCAAATACTCAATTTCTCGTGACAGAAATTTTCCAAATATTTAATTTCTCGTAACAGAAATTTTCCAAATACTCAATTTCTCGTGACAGAAATTTTCCAAATATTTAATTTCTCGTAACAGAAATTTTCCAAGTATTTAATTCCTACCGACTGAAATTTTCCAGACATGTATCATAATTCTTCTAGCAAAACAATACTTATTGTTAGTTATATCGTATGCCCTGATTTGAAACAATATGCATGATTATAGTTGTATATGCACTGGTTGCCTAAGATCTTTCATTAATTCTGGAAGAAACAAAGGGGACAGTTTCAGCGGGATATGCTAGAATGAGCGTAATTGGTTCTAGAACTTCGTTCGTTATGGCATTTGTTCGCTCTAGCATACACTGAAATATATAGGGTAATCCATTCTAGGCCATAGTCTGAAGCAAAGTTTCCGTCCGATACAATGATTTCAACAAGAGAACTTCGCTGCAAAATGAAAAACATAAATGTAAAAATAGCAGAAAATCGATTGATTTAGCCTGTTATAAGCTATCTAAGTTTGAAGAACATGTATATTCATTTTTTATCGGCTATTATGAAAAGTAGGGAAAGAAAACAAAGGGTCATTGTTGTTGCCAAGCCGGGAAAATAATTTAACGCGTTCGCTACCGTCGTCATACGCCCACGATCTCGAAGCTCGCATAAAGTTAGTAAAATTAATCTTGACAAGTGAGTGAAGAATTTGTAACAAAGAGAGTCTCTTTGTTTAATTTCTTCAGTAATTTATCTGCGTTTAAAATGACATTTACAATGCGCATCTGTTATTAATTACAGGATTAGTTTAATCTGTCCTCGCATTACAGAACTGCATAATTCTTACCACTGGATAACATTTCATCCTACTCTGGTAACCCAGAAACTGAATTTAGTGCACTCATGAGAATACAAGGAGTAATTATACGACTCCCTGTATATTGGTCTAGAAAACTAATAACGTTTTCCTCCTTCTGCTTATTAACCATGTAATATTTAATTACGCATACTCTCCTATTTAATATATTCTAGCACATGAGTACGTTAGTTTTTAGTTTACTCGTTAACAGTAACTCGCAATATGTTACCTATAAATTTTTACACATTTTATCAATGTCTCTAAACAAATAGTGTGTACTGTAGGTTGTTTAATTAGTTTTTAATAACGTGAATCATTTTTGTTTAAATATATTGCACCATTTTATTTTTTCATTTTCATCTTTCGATGACAGGGAATTAATTTGACAGGAAAGAACAATGGCAATTGGAAGAATGAAAAATTATGCGAAAACTTATCCCTTATCACTCTAAACGGCAGCAATACTGTCAAGCTTTACGCAGCGTTCTACTCCAACCGACAGTGTCACTGCCAGAATTTCGCAGTGGTGTATGATTATCGCGTTTAGTTCACTGTAAGCACATCGTACCTGTGGAAATATTATATCTGCCGTCATTTTCAAGTAAAATATTTAATTTAGTTTTATTATTTCTAATTTGTCTAGAGTTGGTTACAAATTACTTTGTAAAATTCTTGGAGTGATAAGGGTTATATCATCTTAACACTAACATTCGAAATACCTTATAACTACACTATGGATTTTATGCATTTATGATAGAGACAAATTCAAATGCAAAATACTAAAAACATTTTAAGAGGTTTCTCTTGTCACGAACTATTTAGTACATAATTTTAGTATTTTGTTTCTGCATTTTTCACTCTATTATTCTACAAAAAGGATTCAGAGTTAATATATACTCACATTTTCTTTACGATTAAAAAAATTTATAGAAGTTCTCTTACGATTTAACCGTATCGAATTAACTATGAAAAGAAGTGAAATAAAATGAAATGTAAACTGAAGAAAATATTTTCTCTTTTCTGAAAATGAAATTTTCTTTAGATGTACGTTTCTGTGACGAATCGTAGTGAACACAGAAATGTGATTATCATTTCTAATAATCATTGCGTTAACATTAAACAGGGTTTTAGCAAAGTCAGTTCTGTGTTTCACAATTTACCCTCGGTTAGTCGATATTATAATCACGGGGCACGTCTGCAGCTGCATTTCTGTCCAGACGCGAGTGGTAAGGCTGTTAGAAATTGCACGTGATCGTTTTATTGCGGGAATCACACATCGTCAGGACCCTCGGACAGCCGGTAACCAGATGTGTCAAAGTGACCATCATTTGGCATTTGACCGTTAGCCGCAGGCTATGCTTGCAACCTGCTGCTGGTAGACAGAAGGAAGCGACGATTAGTGCTTTCCAGACAACAATACCAGATTTTCTGTCAAAAATAGACACTAATTTTACCCTTTGAATTATGCAGTATTTACATATGTTGTGCGATAAAAGTTCGTTTTGTAAATACAGCGAATTTTAAAATATTTCGTTTTATCTTTTTATTTTGTCTTATAATATTCCAAAGTCTTATAATCTCGAAATGTTCTACTTACAATGTGTTCTAGTTTTCACGAAAATTTGAATTCAAACATGCATATGATAATTACATTCTTTGTATTATTATGATACATATCGTATCGTGAAAGATTATTATTCCTTTATGACAATGATTAATCCTAATGATTAAAAAATGTATAAAAGGCTTCCAAAAAATCTTTTCTTTATTGTTTCCAGTATTTATAGAATCTGTCAAATGTACGTAGATTTAGGTAGATGATTGTACTTAGATATTTCGTAGCAGTCATACATATACAAATATTGTTGCAAAAATACGTTAGTGTAGAATTTTCGTTCTGCATTATATGAATAACTACTTTAAATTATTTAGAACTAAGCTGGAAGAAGCGAACTATTGCACTTGGAAAGAAAATAATGATTACAAGTACGATAATATGTAGAGTATAGTCGTTAATGTTAATCATTAAAGAGTAAACGTTTTAGCAGATACTCGTTTCAATTTTTCTTCAATGAACAATTTATTTCTAAAGTAATGCTGTTTGTTTTAAGTTCTGGTCTTGTATATTTCAATTTGTGTGTGAGAAACGCATAAACATTTCAAGCTGTTCATCAAACTAAATAATTACATACGGCAAATTAGAAACAATCTATTTGTCATTATGATATCCACAGATATAAAAGTGTTATTTTAAAAATATGAAATATCTTTTACATGGAATTGCTTTTTGGGTTACACCACCAGTTCGATAGCACACTGCACTAGATGCGTTCATGGTAGAATGAAGAAAAATAGTGATGTTAAAAATAGATTGAAAGTACAGAATGATACTAAGTTATGTATTTATTAGGATAGTAAAACATAAAACATGAAAATATTCAATTAATAGATGATGTTTTCATTGAAATAGAGCCTGACTGTGCCCATTACTTACCGTTTCCACTTGCTGTAGTCACGAATACCTGCATGTTAGATGCATCTTTGTAATTGATTTCCTGCGAAATATAGTCTCGTTCGATAAGAATGGCTTTAATTGCATTATTAATTAATTTGAACGATTTTATGATATAAAATTACTTTTTAGTTACACTTGCAGTTTGAAAAATGGGCGAATTTTCATTTTCTTCATTTTGTTTCGTTAATTACGAAAATGGGTTTCGTGTTAAAAGCTTGAAATACTTTTTTGTCCGATTCCAATAATGGAAGCTACTTTATGTAGATAGGTAGTCCAAGTTAAGTAAACAAATTGAGTTTTCAACTTTTGTGAAACATCATAAATAATTATAGACTTTACAGTACTCTTGGTTCACTTTCTACTATCAGATATGCACTAACTGTACACTGTGTTCAGTCACATTATTAATTCAACGAAGATAAACTTTTGCGTGCAACTACGACAGAAATTTCAAACCAGAGTTGTTTCAATTCTTTCTGCGCTAACTAAATCGTAAAAATCTATTCGTACGCCTTTTAAAACGAGATAACGTTTTTATAATTGGGCCAAGCGATCTAAACCTTTTTGGGATGTTCGAGGGGTTTGTTTACTGAACAATGACTAAAAAAATTGCAATTGTTTGAATATCTGGTATTTTAAATATTTACAGCTCATAATAACGTTAATCTATTTCAGTGATTTACGAAACGCATTTTTTAAATTTTCGTTGTAGGTTCAGATAGAAAAGTTGAAAAAACATCTCTTATCTTCTTTTATCATCCACCCAAT